AAAGGAACCCCATCCCAGTTCTCGCTTTTTTCAATCTTGTACTCTTTCGAAGTTTTGCAAGATTCTGTCTTGGACTGTGAGAGAGATCGTTCATGACCGGCATGGTACAGCCCGACCTTGGTCCTCCAGCGACGAAGTACAAGGAAGATTCGATTGATGATCCCGTGAGTATCATTTCCATACGTATCTCTTTCCTTTCGAGTCCCCGTCTACCCTATAGATTTTGTGATACCTTTCCTACTTCAATATCATTCCTATCTTTCTTGGTTCTTTCTATGTGTGGTTGCCAGGAGAGCTCTATTTCCATTGGAGTTGCCATTTCTCGAACACTTGGATGTCTATCACGCCTTTGGATTCGGCCTTCCCTCGACTCTCTATTTCGTCGACCTGGATCTTGTGCAGGGTGAGCTGCGTTGTGAATCCCTCAACCAAAAATCAGCCGCCAACTCAGCATGCCGAGCTATTGAACTTGACTCTGGTCGATTCGCCATCTACTGGCCATGACTTACGGAGCGCTGTCTCATTTGTATGCACCTATTCTGGACCCACCACAGCCCTTGCTCCAACTAGAGCCTCACTTCGACCAAAATGATTTCAATCGAGAGCGACAAGAAAAAAAAGCCCCCCATGCCTAAAGTCCGTGTAGCGGATTGGGAGTGATATCTACATGATCCAGCTTGTGGAGTGCTTTGTCCCTTCGGAACAAAAAGGAAAACCTCCACTCGCGATATCAAGGACACACCAACGCTACACAGATCCATGCTATTCTTTGGTCCTGGACGGACTATCCCGGTTATACCCTGGCCCATTTGTTACTCACCTAAGGACATCCCTGTTCGAGGATTACCATTGATCTGTGGCTCAATCCAACCCTCTCACCTCTTATGATGAGATTCTGCATACCTGCAAGATTCAAATTCCCACGTCAGACCAGAGGGGTTCCATGCTGATGTCACTCTGGACACTTCTGGGCTGTGTTCCCAAGTTCCTTTTTGTTTCTTTCCTACGTCCACGTTGTCAGCTTGTAGCACTCTGCCTTTTCTGGCTCGAATCTTGCCCGTATCTTTCTAGCAACCTTTCGGGGCTGGCTATCGAAGTCCTAGTCACTGATGTTTGTTTCTGCTATAGCTTCGACACGGCAACTCTGGGCGTCCCGGTTCCCAACAGTCTCAGACATTACAACCGCGATCAAATCTAGCACAGAAGCAAGGCCCCGCCTCACCTGTGCAGCCCTCTCTTTCTCTCCCTCCTACCACATACCCCCCGCCATCCCATCCATTAAACGGAGTCCTGCACCACCATAATCCCTACGGACCGCCACCTCAGGAATCCCCCTACTACACCACCCATTCTCCCTATACAACGATCCCAGCGTCGGCGCATTACCCTTCTAGTGGTAAGTCCAGTCCTTTTCTTTCGATGTTGGTGGGAAGTCGTTGGGGTTGAGAAGTGATGCACTGGTGTTCGGCTTTCTTGAAGCTCTTAGCCATCCATTTAATTTAAGCTTGTCAAAGCCATCAACTAACCCCCAAGGATTAGGGCCACCTGACCTCATGGCATCGACCGCTCAAATGCAGAGACCTTACCCCTCTATTTACCACACCCCTCAATCAAGCTCACCCGCCTCGGTAGCTTCTCAGTCGCATGAGCAACATGGCCGCAACATGTATTCGCAATCACCACAGATGCCACCACAGATGTTCGGATATCCTCCATATTCGCCCATGAACCCAGTTCAGCCCTCACCATATGGAACCCATCACTCTACCCAGCAGCATCCGCATCCTATCACAACACAGCCATTGATGATGCCGCCCCAGAAAGCCCCATCCCAAGGGCCACCACACCAATCCCCCCACCTTCCGACGTCCGGCATGTCCAGCAGCCCGATCATGAAACTCGACTCCTCCCAGCACCCCGCCACTCCACAGCAAACAATGCTGAACCCTCCTCTTACGGCAAACAACAGCCACGCAATGCCCTCCAGCAATCCCCACGCAAGCCCACCACTGGGTGGCACCACCTCCAGCGCAGCACCAGGCCCCATCCCAGCCACGACCCCGCTAGTGGTGCGACAGGATAGCAACGGCGTGCAGTGGATCGCCTTTGAATATTCCAGAGACCGGGTGAAGATGGAATACACCATCCGGTGTGACGTGGAATCGGTCATCGTGGACACGCTCACGCAAGAATTCAAAACGGAAAACTGCGTGTACCCGCGCGCCTGTTGCAGTAAAGACCAATATCGCGGGAACCGACTGGTCTACGAAACAGAATGCAATGCCGTCGGCTGGGCGCTGGCAGATCTGAATCCCGCTCTGAGAGGAAAGCGTGGTTTGATTCAGCGTGCTGTTGATAGCTGGCGCAATAGCAATCAGGACCCGAGACTGCGCAGCAGACGGGTCCGTCGTATGGCGAAGATTAACCGAAGACAGTCGGTTCCCGCCCAGTCGACTCATATGGCGCAGCAAGGTCCTGTTGGCCCGTCTGGTCCACCTGGTCCAGGTATGAGTGCTATGCCGGCTCCTATTCCCCGTCCGAGTTTGGGTCCCATGTCGATGGGCCCGCCGCAGATGCATCATCATCATCAGCCTGATGGTAGTCCTCATGAAGAAGCTAGCGGTATGTTTCACCACATGTGATGTGCTTTTTGCTTTCTTCCGTCGATATTTTCTTCTCCTTTCTTTTCTTCTTTTTTCTTTTCAAAGAGCGGCGGGATCACTCATGTATTTTCTTCTCCTTGGAGCTTTTCTTTCTTGTTGGACCGGATCTATGTCTTGTGTGTATGTGTATATGTGGGAGTTTTTGTGTCTTGTCAGGTCCGGTCTCTCTATCTCTCTCTCTCTCTTCTCTCTCTCTCTGTGTGTGTGTGTATGTGTGTATGAGGATGTGTCAACGGTTGTATGAGGATGTGTACTCTTCTCTTGTATCCCTACCTGGTCCGCAGTCTGTGTTCTTATCTGTCTTATTTCATACCCTGTTCAACTTCACTACTTTGTCGCCTTTTTATCATTTGACACCGCGCATCTTGTGCCTTGGCTCTCCTTTCATTGGAACTGAATCTCCTTTCCCCGACATGTCAAACATGCATTTGTACAGCGTAGGCTAATTCCCGCTCTCCCCATAGGCACAGAATACCCAGGCCACCGGAGCATGGACACTCGCCTCCCACAACCCTCAATCCCCGACCTCCGTCCCGCCCACATCTTCCATGACGCCCCGACAACCCTAACCCCAGGCGGCAGCGCCAGCGGGCCCTCCATGCCCCCCCTCCTCCGCGACAACAGCCTCACCTCACTAAGCCGCCACACCATCGCCACCTCTGCCCGCATGGACTCAACCGACCACATTGACGAGCAAGGTCCAACAAACGAGGACCTCTTCAGCCAACTCCCAGATGGCAAACGCCGCAAATTCATCCTAGTCGACGACCCCCAGCGCGGCTGTCGGGTCCGCGTCAAGGTCGTCCTCGACAAAGTCAACATGGACGAGATCCCAGACTCGTATCGCGAGTCCAACGCCGTCTATCCGCGCACTTACTTCCCCATCCAGATGCGCGACGAGAACCGCGTCATCCCCGCTAAGCGGTTCTTCCGCGATGACGCCGAGCAGGCGGATGATCCGGAGGCATCGACTATCGGGCGCACGACTGTGCCTGCGCCGTCACTTGACGCCGAGACTGAAATTGAAGTACCAAAGATCTCACGCAGAAAACATCGTAAGGAGTTGATGCTTAATGATCTCGGTTATCGTATGAGCTGGAGTCAGAGTCGTGTGTTTGCGGGACGGATGTTATTTTTACAGCGATCGTGTAAGTGTTTACTTGTTTTTTTTTTTTCCTTTGTTTCTTGGTTTCGTCATATATTTTTTTGGGTTCGGTACTGTTTCACCTGAACCCATCATCCATCGTACACGTGCCGTGTCCATGGAACAATCTGACTGCGACTGAGACAAATGAGAGACCCCGCTAACCGTTTGCGAATAGTGGATGCCTATCGCGATAAAATGAGAAGCAGTATGCTCGCTGCGGGCCAGGATGCCGGGGATATACCTGATCATTTTGATACTCGTCGTGGCAAGCGACGGTTCCTGGAGCGTGGACGTCGGCTGGAGTCTAGTTCTGAGAATGCTGCACAGCGGGATGCGGAGGAGGTTGAAGGTTGAAGGCGATATTATATTATTTTTTATTTTTTTCTCTTTTTTCCCTCATATTTCCTTTCCCTTTTTACTTTGTGTGGCTGTTGGGGTTGATTATATTTCGTTTTCGGTCGAGGTATGTCAGGGCGTTTTGACGGTTTTGACGGGTTGCGGAAGAAAACGAGAAAATTCCAAAAACAGAAAAAAGGGATTTGAAGGGATTTGAAGGGATAGCATATGATTTAGTGATACGCCTCAGATGATACCATGACTTGATTTTATTTTAACGTTGAATGAGATATATGAATATGTTTATATAGAAATCTTGATAGTTCATAGTTGATCGTTGATAGTTTACAGTGACAGCATGGAGATAAAAATAGCCACGTAAGGGACACAGACATGGACGAATCCACTGAAGGTCCACATGGGACCCTGGAAGACCCTGGAAAAGGACCCTGGAATGTTGAAATTGAAGTATAGCCATGTTCACGCCAATAATAGAATTGGTTTATAAAATACATGGGTTGTACTCCATACGGAGTAGTGACTTTGTGATTCACCAAGCTTTTCCCCGTTGTCCCGGTCACGCCCTTATTTATCCCGCTAATGTACTCGGCTGCTTTTTTTGATTCTTACTTCTGTGGATTCTTATTTATTCTTTCTAGCAAAGGGTTCGATTTTCCTTTGTCTCAGAAGTAAATTCCTGCATTCAGTTTAAATTTCTGCCTTGGCACCTTCCCTGCATTTTTCTCCGTTCGCGGGTTCGCGGGTTCAACGGGTCTCAACATCTGATCTTCTTATTATTCAAAGTCCGGTCTACACCGGACACTCTCAATTTCCTCAAAATACAAAACAAAGACATGGACAGTCCACCAACCCCAACCCATCTCTACTCTCACAGCTCCCGCGAACGCCACACTATTACACCAGGCATGGACAATCTCGGTCCCAGCTCACCGGGCGGTGGAATCAGCGGAATCGCTCTAGGAATCGCCAATACACACAGTCGCCAAAGCGGCATCGAGGCATCTCACGGCATAAACGACGGATACACCGGCCCCGCAGAGCGCGACTTTAACACAACCGGCTCAGACACACCCTACGTCCCCTCAGCAGGCTATGCTAGCGGCGACTCGTTTCGTCCCGAACACGCTCACGCATTGAACATGGCGAGAGGCGGCACACTCGCCTCGCCCGCTTTGCAGACGCCCAGTCAATCGTCCGTGCATCTGAGCGATCCCGCACACAGCACATACCAATACCCCGCCCCGTATGCGGGTCTCACTGGTGGACCCTATCAGCGACACTCGACCGCATACAGTAATGGCGAGATGTCGAATATCAACCCCGATGACATCGCCGACGATGGCGATGAAGACTTTGCTCCCCCGCGCAATCGAGCTGCTGCTGCGGCCGGCGCAACTAGCGGCGCTGCTGCTGGTGGCCTTCTGGGCAGCTTGTTTGGTCGCGAGAAGAATGTCGATGTCGCATATAACTCAGTCCCCGGTGGGTTGGAGGGCGGCGGCGGGGGAGGCTCGGGGAGATCCGTGAATAATGGAGCAGACGGGCGCAAGAAGATGGGCTGGATTGTCGGTCTTGTTCTTGGGTTTGTAATTCTGGGTGCGATCATCGGCGGTGCGGTAGGCGGTACAATTGGTAGTCGGCATAATGAGAACAAGTCGAAGTCTGCCGGTACAGATACTGCTTCGGGTGATGCATCGACCAATGGGGACCTCAACAAGGATTCCTCGGAGATCAAGGCCTTGATGAATAACACGGATCTTCACAAGGTCTTCCCTGGAATGGACTACACGCCGTGGGGCGTGCAGTACCCGGACTGTGTGAAGTGGCCTCCGTCGCAGAATAATGTCACCCGTGACATGGCGGTCCTATCGCAGTTGACCAACACAGTGCGTCTTTACGGAACGGACTGCAATCAGACCGAAATGGTTCTTCATGCCATCGATCGCCTCGAGCTAAAGGATATCAAACTTTGGCTCGGCGTATGGATTGACTCGAATACCACCTCGACCGAACGACAGATTAAACACCTCTACAAGCTCCTCGATGATACCAAGGACACATCCATTTATAAGGGTATCATTGTCGGTAACGAAGCCCTGTACCGCGCCGGCGACAGCAAGCAGTCTGCCGAGACGACTTTAATCTCGTACATCAGAGACGTCACGAAGGAGGTCAAGAAACGCAATCTAGATCTATTGATTGCGACCTCCGACCTTGGTGATAACTGGAACGCGGAATTAGTGGAAGAAGTGGACGTCGTCATGTCCAACGTCCATCCCTTCTTTGCCGGTGTCAATATCGACGTTGCTGTTTCATGGACATGGGATTTCTGGCAGACCCACGACGTCTCCTTGACCAAGGGCACGAGCAAGAAGCAAATCATCTCAGAGGTTGGATGGCCCAGTGGCGGAGGCAAGGACTGCGGTGATAGCAAGGTCTGTGACGACGACACTCCTGGCTCTGTCGCCAGTATCGAGAACATGAACACCTTCATGTCTGACTGGATCTGTCCCGCGCTGGAGAATGGAACTGATTACTTCTGGTACGTTTTCGCTGTCCACGGGTTCTTCAACCGATCTATTCAGATTACTAACACGAACACTCTCTACAGGTTCGAGGCCTTCGATGAACCATGGAAAGTCCAGTTCAACACCCCCGGCAAAGAATGGGAGGATAAATGGGGTCTTATGGACTCAGCTCGCAAGCTCAAGAAGGGTCTCAAGATCCCAGACTGCGATGGCAAGACGGCCTCATAAGATGCTGTCGGATCCGGCTGTTGCTCTTTTATGGAATCATGATCATGAAATTTTCTTTTTATGTGCATATGTATCGTGTTCATAGTCTTGCTTTTTGTTCTGCACTGGCGTTTGTCTTTCTATTTCCAATACCATTCATCACGATGGAACCCCCGGATATCTCACCTCTCATCCTTGCATCTTTCCTCGGATTCATGTCTTTTCCATTTCGATTCGAAATCCCGAGGGTCCTTTTACCTGGCGTCCATCATCATTCCTGTCCTTTTATCTTTGTGCACTCTTTACACATTGCTGCTCGTCTTTGGCCTATGCTTGATTTTACCTCGCATATCCTCTGTGGTTTTATTCATTCCTTTCCTTTTTCATTTATGAGGAGGTCTTGAGTATCTGTTTGGCGGTCTTTTATCTTCATGGGATATTAACAGGGATCATTTGCGTGTGTTTTTTTCCGTAGCTATACTATATACTAGCTATCCTGTCTCAATGTATATAATGGGTCGATTCATCAACTCCCGGTGTACTTGAAAATACTTACAAGAACTACGATACAAATGTATGCACTGGCTTCGTTCATTGATCGTTATATTCTGTACCCTTAAGGAAGCCCTCCAATGTATTGTACAAAACATAGGAAGAAGAGATAACAATAGAAGTGGAACCATAAAAAGGAAAGGAATATTGAACAAAAGAAAATGCGTCCTAAGAAAGATCTTCGGACAACAGAGAGCTATCTCTGTGGAAAGCTTTCAAAAATTGGCTCGAAGAGAACTTCGAGCACGTAGGAGGAGATGAGAAATGTGTCTGCAGAGAGAGCCCCTCCCCTTGGTTCAGCTCCTGACGGTCAACGGGAGCACCTGGACACGTACAGTTTGTATCCGCAGCGGTTCATGGGAGTGTCCTACCCGTGAGGGGCGCTTGTACAGCTATGTGGCCTCCCAAGACATGCTTCGTGCCATTAGCAACCTAGCCCAGGCCGCCTACAGAGTGTCGCCAGAGTGATCAGGATAAACCCATCATGGGTAAACCGATCACTTGACAATAGCATCCCCAAATTCAAAAAATTGTTGGGTGTCCAGGGGGCTACGGAGTGCAATGTGGGCTGGAGAGGGAGGAGGGGGGTAGGGTGAAAGGGAAGGGGATGGGGAAGGGAAGGTGAAGGTGAAGGTGCACATGGGGTTATATGAAAGATCATGATATTGACTCAATCTTAACAAGTTCAAACCATCTCAAGAAAGATCACATTAACGCCAGTCCCATGCACGCCTAACCTAATCTATAACCTCTATAATCCCATGTATCTCATATAACCCAAAATCTCCAGAATACCAAGAACTTTTATATAGATATCACTCCGCACCCACGACCTCCTCAGCCCAATATAGCCTCATATTCCAAAAAGCATGCTCAAGCGCTTCAAACACCGGCAAGCAATACGACCCAGAGCCATCCACATAACCTTGCAGTACACCTCCAGAGTCCGCATGCTCAAGCGGACCACCGAACAACAGCCACGGCTTCGACGGCAGCAACAATTCAAGATGTTTGCGCTCTGCGCCGGGACAGAAGAGCATTGTCTTCGCTGTGATGTGCGAGAAGGCCTCTGGGTGTTTGATGACTGTTATATTCAGGGCTGCGAGTAGGGTTTCGTCTAATGTGTTGAAGACAGGGTCTTGGGCGTAGACTTTGAGATTGGAGGAAGTGGTGCCTATGGGTAGGTGTGCTGTTAGCGTGGGGTATACTGAGTATGCCAATGGTCAAAACAGAAGAAGATCGAAGTTGATCCAAGATATAGCCAAAAAGGAATATATCCAGAAACGAAACTAATGCAAGAAGGCCAAATCCAAAAAGATCGGGAAACGAACAGGCAACTTGATCCTTTATACTCGCCAGCGCAGCAAGCTGATAAAGCGACACAGAGCGCCGATCAACCCATCCATCACGCAGGAACCCGCTCGGGCTCCCAAGCCCGATGCAGACAATAGCGTCGACGGGGCAGAGGTTTGGGGGCAATGGAGTAGGGTCACCAGCATCAGAAGAAGAAGAAGGCTGTTCCTGTGCCCTCTTCAGCCGTTCATCCAAAACGCCGGTGAGCTTAGTCCAACTCTCCGAAGCCTCCCACCTCTCACGGTGGGTTTGGAACTGTGCCTGCAGGTCGGACAACGTGAGTCGACCCGGTGCCTCTGCCGGGATCAGGGTGGGTTCTTCGGGCAGGTCAGAGGATATCCCGGACTCCGATTCCTTGGTTGCAGTTGCGCCTCGCGGACGTGTGCGCATTACGCGCCGCACGTTGCTGCCGCTCGCGACATGGGTCCAGCCATCGTCGTCGGTCACTTGGGTTCGTTTTTGGGTTGGTCGTTTTCGGCGGGAAGTGTGGGAAGTGTGGGGCATATTTTATATATATATATATATATATAATTATATAAATATCGTTGGATTATTGATGTATTGGGATATTGTCTATGTCTTTGGATTTATTGAAGCTTTTTTTTTTTTTTGGAGATGCGGGGGAAATGCTTGGCGGAACTCCAACAGGCTTACTAAGTGAGCTGGCTGGCCCCGAGGGGGGAGACAGTATACCATTCCAAGACAAGGTTAGGGTGAGATAGAGCTACATATTCAAGTGAAAGAGTGAAATGCTTTGCAGGAAACAAAATCCAACAATTCAGAACTTATCCTCTGAGCACACTCGCACATTCTGTAAGCGCTCATGTTGTTTCCCCGAACGTTAGCGTCCCTCCTCGGCGCTTCCACCGCTGGTCACTCAGCAAATCATCGTGCAGTATCACCCTTTAGGTGATGGCACTTGCAGCGGGCTGTGATGATCCTAGGCTACCCCTGCTCTTCATCACTACCCGGAGCCAGTCACAGATGTCTCGCCATGCAGTCTCGGTCACATCTGCTTTCCAGGGTTCTGACTCGTCCGCCCTAGTGAAGGCCGGTACCCCTCAAAAAGACCATTTAGCCCTCGAAAATCATGGCTTGGTCTTGGTCTTGGTCTTGGAGTTTTTATGATTTTGGTGTCCATTTTGCCAATACCGTTATTCTCTCTATCCTACTTGCTTTATTTATCCTGCGATCGGATAAATTGAGTCCAAGTCTCATTCAGCGACAGCTGAATAATTCCTGCTCAGCTCTTACAACTTGTCACCGTTGCTGTGGGATCTCACCATGAGCTTCACGCAATCCACATCGCGATGGGCTTCTGTCCTACTCCTGCTGTGTTTGGGTCTGGCGCACGCTCACACCGTCATCACTTACCCCGGTTATCGAGGAAACAACCTCCACACCAACGGCACCATCGCGCAAGCTAATGGTCTTGGTGTTGCCTACGATGTGAAGAATGGCTCATATATCTACCCATACGGCATGGAGTGGATTTATCCCTGTGAGAAAAATTTATCCTATCGTCCTTATACACCAATCACTGACTAGAATTTTTTAAGGTGGTGGTATGCCCAGGTCGACCAACCGAACTAAGTGGCCCGTCAGCGGTGGTGCCGTCGCTTTCCAGCCGGGCTGGTTCCCAGGCCACGCCACTGCCCTGATCTATATCAACCTCGGCTTCGGTGAAATCCCAGAAAACATGAGCCACCCAGTCGTCTCGCCCTTCCAGATCGTCGGCCCGACCAACAACCCTTACCCTGGTACCGTGTGTCTGCCCCAGGTGCCTCTGCCGGCCAATATCTCCGTCAGCCCGGGTGACTATGCTACAATTCAGCTAGTTGAGACAGCCAAGCATGGCGCTTCGCTATTCAATGTATGCCCCCAGCCCCCTTACCTCCAATCCAGGAATCCATGTACTAACTTGGCTCTAGTGCGTGGACATTGAGTTCGCAGAAGATGGCGATGCGTCCGTGGAGACGGTCACTCGCGACAATTGCTTCAATTCGTCGGACATCTCTTTCGAGTACATGTACACCACCAGTTCAATCGGTTCCGGTGCGGCGATGCTGCAGCCTCCGAAACTGTCTGCTGCGGCTGTCGTGCCGCTGTTGCTGGCTGTCGCCTTCGGGTTGTACATGTAGGTATGTCGAGCTGTCTTGATTGCATTTGTGTGCGCTCCTTGCTTTTGTCTTTCCTTTGCGCCATACCCCTGGTTTTCATTAATCTGTGACGCTTCAAAATCAGTGTTGATGATACTGCATGTCTATGTCTTTCTCAAATGGACTATATAATTGACGTTTTGGGTCTTTCTGGCGTTGACTGGTGTTTGGCTTTTGTTTCTCTAGCTCTGCTGAACGAATATATATCTGTTCAATGTGACGATCCTGTGGAGTAGCTCCCAACCTCGGCATGCATTTATTGTCTTGCTCTTGTGCTCTTTTCATATAGCTTCCAACACCATTGGACCGGTGGGTCGCTGTGTTCTATTGCTCTATCAGATGACGGTATCTCAATTCCAAAACACGTAAGAGTTGAATTTTTCAACGGTGAGCAGTTCCTTTTCAGGATGCGGAGATGACCTCATTCCACTACTCTCCCAATATTAATCCATACAATTTCTTTTCGATTTCAACTTCTCGAGGTATTAAAGATCACCACAGAACCCGCGGACCCGTTGTTTGACATGGAGCCACTGCAAGAGGATGTTGATCTAGAAACACCCGGAGATATCTATTAACCCCCAAATTACCTATTACATCTCTGGGTGGAATTATATCATAGGTCAAAGCCTGCTAGTATGATGTGGTTATTACGGACGGAACTTGCACTCCGAGAGAATACCCAACATGAGATGGCCTTAAAGAAGATATACAGCGACTCCTCAAGATACCCTCACCCACAATATAGCGAATCGCATTCAGCACCTGAAGAGTGAGATTTTGAATCTTTCAAAGAAATATTGGGTATTAGAACGGGATTGGTGGAATATCAGAGCTTCGTTTATGGATGGCCTGTTGACTCGAGGTATCGACTATTGGCGCTCACAGCCAAGGTGTTATATGCACAGTGTGCTTTGCGATGATTGTACCGGAAGAGGAGGTCGCGGTGGAAGAGATTGTAGATGCTGTTATAATCGCATTGGAAGAAAGTTTTCGGTTGGTTATTGCACAGTGGAATGTTCCTGTTGCGAGAAGGCTTGGGACTTTAAACTAGCCCAAAAGGGATATTTCCATATCAAGGAAGACTTTAACACTGGCGGGAGTGCTTCTCTTTGAATTCGGAATGCCGCTTTTCTTGGGCTGATGAATGGTAGCTGGGAGGACCCGTTGGGTCTTATTCAAGATCCACATGCCATGAGATTTGAAATGAATTCGTTTTAATGAATAACACTAGCAAAGACGCAGCTGTGACTAAAGCTGGCTAAACAACAAGAATAAGCTTTTTAAGGATAAACTTAACGAATATTAGATACATGTATGTTATCCTACAAGGCCCCAGTAAAGTAGCGTGCAGATGTCTACTATGTCTTCTAATGTTCCCCCTATAGGATCCTCAGGATTAAAAACATTCCCTCCGATCAATATTGTAGGTCTCTTTAAATATTAAATTGTACATCAAATTGTATGAGTTTATAGAACGACTAATCTTCTAGCTTAGGCTTCTTGCATATGGTTATCGCTGAAACCTGCCTCTTCTTATCTATGTACTGCTTTCATTGATCATATCAATACTGCCGTAATAGTAATCTTAAATTTGATTTTAAAGACAATTGCTTTCCCATAGAACAGAGTTTTGTGGGCGTTTTGTTGACAGTCCGACCTTCCCGATTAGGACCGACCGTATGTAGATTATTTCTCTTCAGTTCCGAGTGTATTAGGTGTTTCATATTTGCTTATTGTTTCTTCCCTTTTTTTCGACAATATTTTGCTCCTTTAAAAACAATCCCGAACTCGTTACAACAGGTTCGAGAGCAAAAAAAGCGACCACTATGAGATTCGAACTCACAATCTCCCGATGACACTATTAACTAGGAGTCGGGTGCCTTAACCATTAGGCCAAGCGGCCAGTCCATGTGGATCCCCTCCTATTAACCATATTGTCGGGCACACTCAATGTGCACACATAAATTCTAAATCGACCAAATCGAATCGCTTAACTACTCCTATCACAACAACCATTACAGAGTACTATACTTTAACACCCCTAATTCTAGTGAAATTTTCAAGTGAATAGATCAGCCAAGTCTGTTGATCACACCAACAGCTATTTATTCCATTAGACTTTGTCTTTGCAGTAACCTAATGATCTATATTTGTACATTCGTTACATATCAATTGTACATGTGTACCTGACTTTGTACAATGCGCATGGCAACCGCACGCACATGTCATTTTCGCCTTTATATTTTGCTAGATCAAGCTGCTATCACAATTAGATCGAAATCCTCTACCACGAGCACCACCTGTGGGAAAGTCCTGAGACAGTAATTGTTCAAATATGTCTTCCTTCAAAGTGCTGGAGGTAGAATCCGAATCAGTGAGCAATTCGGGCTTCAAATCCATCCGTTTTGCTATTGTAACGCTTGAATTTTGCGGGAAAACTACGAGGGCAGACATGTGCCCAAGGGATGCAACACATACCGTGCGACCTCCTATAGCTAGCTTGTAACTCTGTTAGTTCCTTGTATAATACCTACGAGATGATATGAGGTCGTCACCTTTCATGGAAAGAGGCTGATGAAAATATTTCTAATCAACTTGGACAGTAGAGGCATATTCAGAATCTACTAAAAGGGGTGCTCTGCTTTAACAGTTGTTCCTTCCTGGCTGCTACTGGACCTGACGTTGCAAAGGCAGGAATAACTCCTGATATAAGGTATAAACCAAGTTCTGTATCATGGTTGTATTTTATTTAACCAACTAGGGTTTATTTGTGCTCGACTCTCATTTTAGAATTGCCCAACAAACCCTCAATCTTGGAAAATAATGAAAGCCGTACATTTACTGGTACTAGCTCGATCAAACCACCGCCCCCACCCCCTCTCAATGCCTTTGTGCCGGATCGGAAAGTTGTGTGCATTCCCCTCATTTTCCCCCTATTGTGGACTAAAACCCCCCTATACCTCATTTTTCCTTGCCGAAGGGTCTCCATCGCCTCTTCCATCCCATTTTGATTCAGCGGGAAGGTCATCACAATAGGCTTGACAGAATGGCGAGCAGTAAACTGCAACATTTCCCGTTGATTTCCTCGGGCTGTGGGTAGACTGCCTTGTATCCGTAGGGCTTTCATGACCAACGGCAGATACGGAAACTTCATCTCATCCATATCGACGGTAAGGGCGTAAATGGTGCCTCCCGGAGCCATTATTTGAAAGATAGCATCCCACTCTGGCTGTGCCGCTGAAGTGACAAGGATATGATCCAATGGGTCCATGACGGGAGGATATCCCTCAAAGACATGGAACTCGCTAGCTCCAAGAGCCAACGCCTCTTCTTTTTTTGACTGGGTCCTCGACAGCACGACCACTTGACAGCCCATCTTTGCAGCGAATTGAATGGCAAGATGCCCAAGCCCTCCAACTCCAATAACACCCACACGACAGGTTGAGGCGACTTGGAATTTATGCAATGGCGAAAATACTGCACTTCCAGCACACATCAAAGGTGCTGCTTCGGCATTGGAAATTTCGTCCGGGATCTTGTAGAGGAAATCCTCGGGCCATATCGCCGCATGAGCAAAGGATCCTTGGTCGAGACTAGATTCCCCGTAGATCTTGCGTTGGTTGCAGTATAGCTCGTCTCCACGCAAACAGTACTTGCATTTGCGACAGCTGCCGTGTCCATACCCCCAGCCCACACGGTCGCCACTATGTCCCAATAGTGCGTCAGCATCAACAGTTCAGATGTATCATGAAGGGATAGAGCAACTGAAAACATAGACCGTGTTGAGACACTTACACTTTTAGCGAGGTCACTTTGGTACCTATAGCACCCACAGTTCCTGCACCTTCGTGTCCGAGTACAATATTGGCGTGTCTGTAGTGCTCATCCGTTCCGCAAATACCGGAGTGAGTAATCTGGACGAGTACTTCGTCCTCCGAAGGACCGGGATGCTGGATTTGACTTTCAACAATCCTCCCACTCGAAGAGCCTTGGAAAACAGTAAACTCAAGCATGTTAGATACCGGAAAAATATTGCTAGTATTAAAAAAAGAAGAAGAGGGAGAGAAAGTTATGTAGCTGCCAGTCCTTTCAATCAGAATTAAGTGACCTCAACAAGAAATATAAGGCGTAAGGTTGAAATGTTTGCTCGAAAACATTTGTATACTACTAGGGTTCGGGGTGGCGCGAGCATGTTGCAGTTATGTCCAATCAAGACACGATCCGTCATATGCCCGGCGTCAACAATTTGAACATTATTTCGAATTGACCAATCATCGGGGAGTGTTGTTGTCACATTTCAGCATCAGATAGAGTAATGTGCTAGATATGGCCAATCCAGTGATGGCAGACCCGCTGATATAGGTACGCTACGTAGGCATGATTGACTAGTTTGATAGCAATGCTCAGTTAGATTTGGAATCTGTAATGGTCAAGGTGGGTTAAAAGGCAACTCCTTTGCTCATTAAAGCCTTCATCACCACTCATTCATTCCTGCACATCCAACTATTCACTTTTCTATACATTGTGTTCATTTTGATACTGTCGATATCATGTCCACGCTCCAGGAAAAGAACAAGGCGGTGGTCCAGAAATAATTCGAAGAGTACTGGGGAAAGGGCAATGTTAACATCTTTGATGAGGTGTGCGCCGATAACTTCGTCATCGATTACCCCATGCACGGCCCCCGTCGCGGTAAAGAAGCGGCAAAGAAGATGCTCCTCGAGTTCCGCGAGGTAAGCAGTTCAACTTGTGAATAACCCATGTCTTTATAACAACCTAATATTGTTTGATATATAGGCATTTCCGAACATTTCCTTTCAAGCGTACAAATTTCCTCTAATTGCTGAAGGGGACTATATGGTTGGTCGCTGGATCGGCGGCGGCAAGCATACCGGCGTGGCATTCGACGACCTGGCAGTAGGCAAGCTTGATAAGCCAAATACAGGCAAAGAGGTCTATTTCTCGGGCACTACGATTTTCACCCTACAGAATGGCAAGATTGTTGACGAGATTGGCGAAGAGCAAGCCCTTACGGCTCTGCAGCAGCTGGGATTAGTGTCTTGTCCTAATCCAGGAAAGGAAATCAGGTACGACGCAGAAGGCAATCATATCTAATGGAATAGTAGGAAGTAAAGCCAGACAGGGACCTTAATATGTTAATCCAAACTCCTATCAATGTGTCTCTATCTCTTTCCATCTTTAACGCTTCGTGTATTTGATAAGTATAGAGTAGGGGTCATCGAAATCTCTCAAAGCAACAACCCCCCTCATAAAATGGCAAGGCTAGATCGTTGGGCTGAGTTTGCCGTTGTGAATGGTAAATATCTAAATATTCGATGCAGGGGCATACTCGCAGATTCAGTATTCTCGTTCTAGTAAAGCTCATTTACTATTGGCCCGAACCAAGCTTTTCGCCAAGGAAGGCCTTCTAAGCGATATGCGCGAGAGTGGTTTAATGGATCTGGATATTGCATACGGAATCCCCATGTCGTGCTGAGAAAGATGTAGTATTTCTCATAGAAAGTGGCTCCGAGCTCTATAATGACATACCGAAAGCAGATAATCTTACACCACAGTAGTACTTTTCAACCTGTGTTTAGGGATAAAATAGTTACAACATTGAGAGAAATTAAACGTTCTCCCCAATTCTTTGGCAATTTTTCTACGAGATACCTAACACTGATACATGGATAAAGAGGCATGTTGTGGCAGAAATTCTGGAAATGGAAGAATTAACGTTCATTCTGCTAAATTAGGGTTAAAAATGACCAGTCGTCGTCAGAAGACGAGTTATTAGAGCTGTCATTGGCAACCACGTCTTGAAAATTGAAAGAGTCTCCCAGTGATTAGAAAGGAAGTGCTGAGATAAACTAATTCCTTGTGAAACAGCCTATAAGTTGTTAGTATTAGTACTGGGATTTTAAATCCGAACTAGATGAAACAAACCCATCTGCAGGTCATAACCAGCTCTAATCCAAGATTCCTCGCTGCCGTACTTCCTGATGAAGGCTTCGACAATGTCTTTGCTTGCGTTTGGGACCTCGGAAGCTTTTGGAAGGTGATCCGGGTTTTCCGCGCAGTAACCAAGCAAGAAAATAATATCCTGGGCATCGGTTGCCTTTTTAGCTTCACTGGCCCGATTGATGATAGACCCACATTTTGCATTCAGAAGCAATGCCGGCTTTAGAACCTTTAAGTTTCCGACTGTGATTACTTCCGTTGTTTCGTCAAACTTTTCCCGGAACAAAGCAGGAGGCGCGAGGATCTCAATCTCCACAGGTTCGGCACCCCTATACCATGTGTGATATGTCTTTGCTTGAACCTCGAAGGCCGGGGAGTCCCTCAGTAACTGTCTCACAGCAGGGGTTTGGCCCCTAAGAACAACAAAGTCGATATCCTGGGTTGCTCGTTCGGATCCTAGAGCCGTACAAGCACTGCCACCGACAAGGGCGTACTTTTCGTCGCCGAGTGTATTTCCAAGCGCTGTGAGAGCCGCATGGAGTGCTTCGGGGGCATGTAATTCTGAAGACATACTCAATATAGCAATAGCAAGCAATTTTGGATTGTAAATGCGGTTTGTAGGTGATGGACTGGGTGGTCATCTAGGGTCACAATGACCTACATCTCTATCCACGGGTCTGCAAACTTCGGGTGCCTTATTAGGCTATGGTTTATATGTGGAGGGATATCAAGAACATCTCAAAGAAGGATATTTGAAAATAGGTCTGAAAAGACACATGACAAGGCGTCCATTCAGTTGTATAAAGCACCACACGTATTGTATTTTGGAAGTATCTACTACGCTATTCTTGTATCTGATATCATGGAACCATATGTCTCGATCCCACATATATTTGTTACTTCAGCTATGTACTGTTTAGTACGTATAAGTGTAGTCGGACGGGTTTCCGTCCTTGACAATGTAATACTTTTAAAATATGATTCACTCCAATGACCTTGTATATATTTCTCGCTAGTGGTTCCCTTCTCGTTGTACTAGTCAGAAAGGCAATCATGAGCTATATAAACATCACCAAGAACAGGAATAACAACACAGTAGAGATTGCTGGTAAACTGAGCAAGGAGCAGATATCTAAATCGGACAATAGATTATGCTATGAAGAACTACATGGCGTCTAGAGATCCGCTAACAGAATAGGTAGGTATCCATGCATTACCATTCTGATGACTCATAGTCTGCTTAACGCTCATTGCAGGATCATATTCAAAATTGGAAATATACCATATAGTTCTGATCAGTATATGGAATTAGTACTCAATGATCTTATCTTCAAACAATAGGCTGATGCCTTATAAAGTCACGTGGATCAGGTTTATTTATACCGTCTCAGACTTTCCTTTGGGGAGTTGACGACATGGCGTCTTATCATCAATCTACAACATCAAACATCTAATCTACATCACAACCACCACCCTTGAATTAGTTTCTACACGTTGCCGTTGTGGTGTTCACATACGCCATGCCTCATAACGAGTCAGACACCGAGAGAAGATATAAGCCTTGTCAAGTATTATCAGACCACCAGATCCCCTACGTCATCTGGTTCGAAGATACTCTCCATCATTATGGAGTTCCTACAGTCAAGTTCAATCTCTATCTCCTTGTGTCAGACCTTGACGAGGCGGCCGAATTACTCGTTAAGGCAGGGTGGGTGATTGATTCGCAAGGACCACGTAAAATTGGCAACGCGAAAGTCAAACTCCCACAAAAGCGACTTGTTTCACCAACCAGCAAGACAATAACTGTTCTTCTCCCGGCTAAAGAGTGGAAGTTCCCTCTGATAGCTGACTCACCTTCTGACGACACGCCGTTGACAGCGGACTCACCCGAAAATATGTCATTCCCACCATTACCAGGCTTCCTTGATGCGCTGATTGAAAGCTGGCTAGATTGTCCTAGTGATGATGCTATGCTGCTGCTTCACTTGGCCTGCCAAATCTCCTATCTTTATGCTCATGTGCCCGCTCTAAAACAACGATCATTCTCTGAACAGATGAAATATGAACACCGCCAGTTCCACTTTGATGTGCTGGCTGGAATGGAGATGGGCACTATTCAATTCAGAAAACACCAGGGTGCTATTCGAGATGCACTATTACAGGGCCAGTATGAACTACGGGAATGTTCGGCGTCTCGTGATAATGAAGATCTTTTTGATACAGGGAGAGTGGGGATATCATTATGAACAGTAGATAGCAATATTCTACCATAGCGCTTCAAATGCAAAACCCATTGTTGGTTATCACAGAGATTCAAAATTGGGGTACGAAGACGGCATGGATATGTAGTTGATTATATATAACCAGACTTCCAACCTGTATGCCTAAAATATATATCACCAAGCAGAGAAAATAATGTAACCATGATCAGCATAAAATGCTTGTTATTCCTACGCAACCTTCACTGACTTGGCATATAAAATATAAAAGAAGCATTAGGTAGATCATATTGCGTTTCTTGTTGACCAAATCTATGATAAAAACAAGTCTGAAAATAGCCAAAACGACCCATCTCGTTAGAGCGCACCCAGCCTAAGAAGGGACCGGGGTGAGATATAAAAGAACGTCAATAATACAGGGTGGGAAGGAAAAACGAGGGTATCATGGAAGCGAACAACTCCAATGGGCCACACCGGAAGATCAAAAAGAAATAGAAGGAAAGAAGAAACGTGAGAGCGAGAGTGTAATACCCAGTTTTGGGTTCAGGTTTTCACCAAAGAGTGAGAGGGCGAAAGGTGGAATACAGGCCACAATCAAGATAAAAGAAAGAAAGAAAAGGGCGAGCCAGAATTAGCAAACCAAGGGGCGTATATCAGTGATTAGATATTAGATATTGTAGATGATGGAGTCGATTTTTGAAGGAAAGACAACAGTAGCCACCGTAGGCAACATGTCTTCCCTGATAGAAAGGTGTGCGAAGGAGAAACAAAATTAAGGAGGGTATTAAGCAGAATTCGAGCTCAAACGTGAAACAAGGGGATCTGTCCAATCGTCTGACTCAGAAGCAATGTTACAAGAACACAGTTCAGATCCGCGACATGTGATCAACCGCGCAGTCCGAATGCCTTCCGAAGAAGAGGAAATCTTTTCTTTCGTCCCGAGCCAGCAATCACGATATCGCGCGCCGAAAGCCTATGATCATCGGGGTTCGTGACTTCAGGGGTGCTGTCATTGTTCGGATCTGGTCCACCGCGGGGCGCCTCGGGCTCCTTCACAATCGGAGATGCACCGTGAGCGCCATTGCCATTGACAACGACATTTCCATTTTGTGCTGCGCCTGCACCATGTGTCGTCGGCGCGGGATTCTGCGCTTGGAGAGCAGACGACGGGGCGCTGTGTGGCTGTTCCGCAACTGGCTGGATAGGCTCTTGTTCCTTGGCGTTGTGGTGAAGGGGCCAAGTGTCTGGTCCTGTCGACTGACGTTTAGACTGTCTCTTCACCAGCTTGGACGAACGAGTCGGCTCTGGATTCCCGGCAGACACTGTAGTTGTGGTGATACCGTGGTTCCCATTCACCATGCCCTCGCCGCGGAATTGATCGGGTTCCAGACGTGACCGCTCTAGGGGACTCTGGGAGTCAGCTTCGCGAACCCCATGAGATTTTTTGATCCCAAGTCGGGTGAGAAGTCCTTGCTTTCGACCTTGGGGAGGCGCCATGATGAACTCCTCCAAGTCTCGCTGCGACATGCCACGTTGTTTGGCTACAGCTGCCATTCCAGACATATTTGGTGCGTGCGTTTTGCGGGACCCGGATGAAGAGAGTACTGAATTGGATGCAAACACCAGGTGTGCTTGCTGCCGGGCGCTCTCTTCTGAACTATCTTCCAACTCTGTTGAGTCACCGTCATCAGCACCTTGGCGACGGGGGATACCACGGACAGGGCGTAACTGATTACTTCCGGGCTCATCTTCATCGCTGGAATCTGCAAATCGACTGGTGAATACCTGGGGTCGGGCTTCATCCTCGTCATCTGAATTTGCAAACCGAGTTGCGCGCGCCGACTTAGGGGGTGCCTTGGTGAACTTCGCTCTTGGTGGGGTCTTCTTGTTTGTTGAAAAGAACGAATATCGCTCACCCCCAGTAGGTCCTCGGAGAGTCTTGCGCATTGTGCCATTCGAGGAGCCAGATGAAAGAGGACGATGTTCAAGGGGAGACTCGTTGCGCTCTGTTGGAGATTGGACTCGAACATTAGCACCAGAAGCACCAGATCTCATTGTCCGTCGCATGGAGTGGGTATCTGCACGCGGAGAAGAGCGTTTAAAACTGCTGGAGGAATCACTTCCATTTGACATTTTTCGGCGAAGAGTGCCAGGGATACCTGCTTGTCCTCCTACATTGTGGAAAACTGGGCCAAGAGACAGTGGACGGGGTTTGGCTTTGCTACTTCGCGGAGAAGCATCGTTGCTCGACCAGCGGGGATCCTCTATACGAGACGCGCTATTCACATCCACCGACATAGGGCGGGTTCGCATGGTGGGCTGTGTCCGGACGCTGGGGTTTTGGGCAGCCGCATTGCGGGTTTGCAACCGGGTTGGCACTGGCGGGTATGTGGAACCCAGCTCATGGCCAACCGAAGAGGCAGGGGATTCCTCTACAAGGCGGTTGACAGTGCCTTGAGTCGGTGTCATGGAGCGCTCCTCAAGTGGTTGATCAGTCACATTTTGTGACTGATTATCCACCATGGCGGCTCTGCCGATAGGTCTCGGTGTTGCGTCCCGGGATCCGCTCGCAATCTCTTCAGACGGTGCGGACCTAGGGGCTGACCGGCTATCGACAATAGCATTGATGGATCCAAACCCATCCCCATCCATGTCCTCCGCTGCATCGCTGTAGACGCTATCACCAGACTCCTCCTCTGTATCCACGTCATCCAGCATTGGAACGGCACTCGCCACGGCCTGGGTGCTAGTCTTCTTCGCAGTCGAATCGAGAGTGCGGTCTGAGCTGGAGGGCAGGAACCCGCCCGGAATCCTATACTGGTCCATGCTAGATCTCTTCACGTCGAAACTTTGTCTGGTTCCGTCTGCTGGGGGCGTAGCAGGTTCGACAGCAATAGCAGGCACAGATAATTTTGAGCCCACGCTAGAATACGGCTGCTTCTCAGTAATATCATCGGCGAGTCCAGCTTCTCGTTTGTCCTGAGGGACGGTATTCGGATGCGAAGTGTGCAGACTGCCATTGATGGATAACTGCTCTAGAGCGTTCAAACCGCGCGGTTGGAAGTATTCATTTGAGAGCGACATATCCGGCCTCGGCGCCATCTCGGATGCAGACGAAGAGCTTGACTCATTGTCACTGAAATCTGGGATTGGCGACCTCTTAAGGCCACCGCCTCGGCTTCCCCGAATGCTTCCGAAAGAAGGAAGAACCTGTCGGGGTTTGATGACTACATCCCAGTCATCGTCACTCGCAAACTCCACAGGTGACTTCTTCTTGCCAGCACCAAGCCAACTCATACGAGGCTTGTCTTTACCGCCGGGCGGAGAATCAGGTGTATATTCTTCTGGGGAGGTAGGAGGGCTGGCTGCCAGATTGACGACTTCAGCCTCGTCATCGAAGCTGACCTTGACAGACTTCTTTCTACTGTCAACTCGAGATCCTTCGTCTGAGGCCACTGAGGTACCATCTGATAGCTCATTCGATGGTACAGCTCGACCAGTCGCCCCAAGCCTCCCATCAGGTGATAAAGATGTTCCCCTTGGGTGTTTCAAGGCCGATTTGACAGGAGACACCGATCTGGGTGGAGGCTGGTGAATTTGATCACCGGCTCCAGCTACAGAGAGCAATCTGGAAAAACGGGCAGTTCTACCTGGGCTGCTCGATTGACGATTTGGCGGCTGTCCTATTTGGAGTTCCGAAGAGGGTGATGAGGGCACTGGCGCTGCCTCTACGTGATCAGCAGTTGGCGATGCACTCGTTGTTCGGTCTCTGCCTTGTCGTATGGGAATATCTTGGACAATTGTGTCGTCACCTTCGGCCTCTTCTTCTCGAACGATGGATGGCCACCGCTCAGGAAGAACTCGGGAGGATGGGTGTTCACTTTCCACGCTGGCCACAGCAGGCATGGCGTTACCGGTATATCGGTCTAGGGAATCGGATTCTATAAGCGAATTTCGCACGTTCCCAGCCCGACCATTTGCACTTGGGCTGTCCTTTGACACGCCAACCGCTAGGGCCGCAGCACCTGCAGTGCCAGCCAAAAGACCAGATTTGTTTGCGACGGGGCTTTCATCTAGGCTGGCAGATGGTTGTGCCCTAGGTTTCCCTTTTGGAAATTTGTCAGATACCTCAGCAATCGATTCTTGAATAGCATCATGGAGGCTCATCGGATTATTCTCAGGCATTGTAATCGGCGAGGTAGGCCGCGAGCCCATGGGGTACGAAAAATTCACTGAGTTCCGACTCGCCGATCGTTCTAGTTCTGGAACAGTCCCAAGACTAGTCACACGTTGATGTGTAGCTAGCTGAATCGGAGACCCTCGCGCATGTTCCCGATCCACGCCCTTCATCCCAGAGCGCGGTGGAGACGATGGAGGCGAACGCATTGACGGTTCCATACTCATCGCACGTCGGTTCGGCAGCTTCCGCTGCGAAAACTGCGTTGGGAGAGTGGGTAATGGAGGCACATTGATGGGTTCATGTCTAGGCCTGATGGGCCCAGAGCTGGTAGCTGGGCGATGGGGGGACTGGTCGCGAAAGGTGCGTGCGCTCATCGAACTATTGCTACTGGAGCGGCGCAGCGTCCCACCCACGCTGGCCGAGCGGCGACCCCCAACGGGGTTAACCTGCGACTGGGTCGAGCTCCGCCGCTGGACCATGCGCTTTGTCTGGACATTTTCAATTGGGGTCGGGGTGGGTGTGCAGTTGCGGAGTGCAGCTGCCGCTGCCGCGGAGGACAAGCTGGCTGTGGAGGGTTGGGAATTCAGGAAAGCATGGCTGGCGGCAGACTGGGCGGATTGTGCGGCGGGTGTGGAGAGTGGCTAGCGGGAAGGAAGGGGAGCTGTCAGTTTCACTTTCATGCACAGGTTGCAGGTACCCGTTGGATTGCATCAAGTGCTGCAACGGGACCCATTTACAGATAGGGCAATCTGCTATCCTTGGTATTCGATGCGCGGAACATACCTGGTGATGGGCAGAGGCACTTCTCTTGCGACGACCGAAGACCATTGTTCACAGTCTTAGGCTTTTTTTTTGGCGACTAGAACGGATCAAAGACTGGATGGCCGGTCACTGCTTAGTGCAGCGCCGAGATCCGAAAATTGAAGTGGATGAAGGGAATGTGGATCTCTAAATGATGATGCGATGGGTAGCTATAAGAAGAAGTGGGAACTGGGGAACTGGGAAATTGAGAAGTTGAGGGGGAGCAACTCGGGAGGGATCGACCAAGTCAGGGCCAGTCAAAGAAACAAGGAGATATGAAGGCAACACCAGGTAAGGAGGGCTAAAAAAAAGGTGAAAAAGCAGGTTCAAAAAAAAGATCAAAACTGATCAAGCAGATCCAGGCAGATCCGAGATCGAGAGGAACTTGCGTCATGACTTTGGGTCAGGCACAACAACTTGGTTTACCGCCTTGAATTATGGACTTTTTATGCATTGCTTATGTTAGCCTTATACTTGGTGTATTACTGTGCATGGAGTATGCAGATAGTTCCAAGGTTATCATTAAGTGTCGAATACCATGGTTGGATGTATGGTGGAAATATAGAGTATTCTGACCCCAGAGCATATGGGCTATATATACTCTGCTAGTATGCCTTTTTGGCTTAATGGGTAAATGCTTGGAGTAGTGGCCGGATCTCAGTATCAATACTCGGAAAATCAATGGACCGCCATGTGCTCCAGGGCTGTATAATATAGTTAGTCATCCATGTCCGCATAGATTGTCAAAATAACAGAAATTGTCATTTGAGTTAGAAATTATATATCGATCATCCATCCCTAATCTTCCACACGGTAAAACCAAGACCCAATTTTCTATACCAAAATTGAATGTTTCGGGGTTGCTTATGCCGATATCCCGCACTGTAGACCCCTTTACTGCGGGGGGCCAGCTTAGGCTTCTGGGGTTATCGCTAGTGTTGCGGATCATGGGCCAATGTGACCCGACGTCACTTTCCTCGGTGAAATTGATTTAACCTTACCACCAATCATTTTCAATCGGAAAATATCACAATGAGAATCAATGAGAATTACTTACAGGATGGCAAGGTATTTCATGCCAAGGTGCGGTGTCCTCTCATGGTTGCCAACCCGCCAAGAGTACCGCTAGCAGGCTCATACCTCTACCAGATGGCGTCAGAATGGATTTAAAAGGGGTCGTCCGCCTAGGAAAATTTAAGAACACGTGAATGTTTTAATCTCTACCATGTTGAAACTCGGCGTTGGATTTCTGCTTCTTGTTGGGCATTTGAGCCATCACGCCATGGCATCCAACTGCACCTCATCTTCCGCAACAGTCCACTGGCTCGGTGACAAACCAACGTACCATGCTGGTGTGACTTTCGGTCTACCATGGCCGCAAGGCAAACATCGACCCCGAGAGAGTATCTTCAGTCTGACCGGCGATTCTGAAGACAAATCAGAACTGCAATCTTGGGTAACGGGCTACTGGGCCGACGGTTCCATCAAATGGACAGGACATGCCATTGCCGAATCAAATCAGATTCATGACAAATACACTGTTACTGCATCGTCTCTGGGCTGCGCCAGCACCTCGCCTTCGTCATCAGTACCCAATGCGACAAATAGCTCTATCGTTGTAACAGACAGTTCCGACGCGGTTACTCTCAACACGGGTGAGATCACCGTCTCATTTCCCAAGACAGGGAGCATCATTGTTGGTGATATCAAGACAAAGGGCGGCAATATCATCGGTGCGAACGGAAGACTTGTCCTTCAAACTCAGGATTCGGTGCCGGATAATTTCGACAACCGAGCAAATTCCTCCATCCAATATTCCAACTTTAACAGCAATATCAACGAGGTATTGGTAAATCAGACATCAGTTCGCACGCTCGTCACTGTTCGTGGAAATCACACAGTCACTGATGGTGCCGATCACGATCCGTGGCTGCCATTCGCTGTCAGATTCTATCTCTATGCCAACTCTGCCACCATCAAAGTGGTGCATAGCATCGTTTTTGATGGAGGCGAGAAGGATTTCATCACTGGGCTCGGTATTCGGTTTGATGTTCCATTGAAAGGCGAGGAGTACTACGACCGACACATCAGGATCGCTGGCGTGGATGGCGGCATCTTTAATGAGGCGGTTCAGGGAATAACTGGACTGCGGAGAGATCCCGGCGAAGAAATTAGAGCCGCTCAATTTGCGGGGCAGAAACTAGCAGATCCAGAGTCTTGGGATACCCGGGTCACCACTCGGCTGAAATGGATCCCAACGTGGGCAGACTATAGTCTTACTCAGCTCACAGCCGATGGTTTCGGCCTCAAAAAGAGGACCAAGCCTGGCCAGTCATGGGTCAAAATTCCCAGCGGAACCCGTGCTGAAGGCCTTGCTTATCTAGGAGGTGCTACACAAGGAGGTCTCGCCGTCGGTTTGCGAGATTTCTGGAAGCGGTACCCGGTTGGGCTTGATATTTCCAACGCTGCCTCCGATACTGGTGAACTCACTTTGTGGTTATATAGCCCCGCCGCTGACCCGTTGGACCTGCGGCCCTTCCACGATGGTTTAGGCCAGGATGGATATGAAGATCAATTGGATGCTCTTGAGATCACCTACGAGGACTGGGAACCTGGCTTTGATACACCATATGGAATTGCTCGAACTAGTGAAGTATACTTGTTCGCATTTGACCAAACGCCGACAAGTGACAAACTCGCATCGCTCACTGCGTATATAAATGATCCCCCAGTGTTGGTTGCGGAGCCAAAGTATATCCATGAAACGCAAGCCCTTGGAGAGTACTGGTCCTTGCCAGGAACTACCAGTCCCGCCGCAACCATCCTGGAAGATCGGCTTCGTTTCATTTTTGACTTCTACAAGGGTCAAATTGAGCAGCGTCGCTGGTACGGCTTCTTGGACTACGGTGATTTCATGCACACATATGACCCCGACCGACACACCTGGCGATACGACATTGGTGGTTATGCCTGGGACAACTCGGAGCTGTCTCCAGATCTCTTCTTCTGGCTTTACTTCCTCCGCACAGGCAGCAAAGATGCATACCGGTTTGCCGAGGCCCTAACAAGGCACACAGGTGAAGTCGACGTGTACCATATCGGTAACTGGAAAGGACTGGGGACACGTCACGGTGTGCAACACTGGAGTGATAGCGCGAAACAGGCTCGTATCTCTCAGCCACAATACCGAAAATACTTTTTCTACCTTTCGGGGGAGACGAGCGCGTCGGAGAATTGCTAGAAGAATTGCTTGACACCGATAAGACCTACGGGGAGCTTGACCCTCAGAGGAAAGTTCGTACAGATGGCTGGAAACCTAGTCCAAACTCGACAGTTTCGTTTGGTCTCGGAACTGATTGGTCGAGTCTTGCTGCAGGATGGTTGATTGAATGGGAACGACGAGGTTCAAGATGGCAAGAGGCCAAGACAAAGTTGACCAACACGATCTCAGGAATAGCAAATCTGACTAACGGATTCGTGACCGGCTCAGGGTTGTATGACCCTGTGACCTGGACATTGGGCCCTCCCCCGTCTGATCCGGGCAACCAGGGGAACGTGTCTATTTCACATCTAAACGCTGTCTTCGGTCTTCCCGAGGTCGTTTCTGAGGCCATCGCCTATCTGGCGGATGATATACCGAAAGGATTCAAACAAGCCTGGTTGGACTACTGCTACTACTACCATGCCTCAGCATCGGAGCAGAAGGAACGATATGGAGTAAGCTTCAGCAAGATAAGTCTTCTTCAAGCGCATTCAAGGCTGGCAGCGTACGCAGCATATGAGACTCAGAACAAAACGCTTGCACTGCGGGCCTGGGAGGACTTTTATGCCAGCGATGGACTATTGCCGGATGCCCCCTGGAATATCACGCATGTGAACGGAAGTGACGTTTTGATTCCCGTGGATGAGGCTGCTTGGTTTGCGACCAACGATATCGCCCAGTACGGTCTGGCCGTCATTCAGAATTTGGCCTATGTTCCGGATTCGCTTGATGACTACCAATCATGAAGTTTGATGGTATGTACATAGGAGTAGTTTCAAGTCTGCATGTAGTATTTGTCATTGTTCCATCAAATATACGAGTATCATCTTGACGCCAGAAACCAGAGTAATTGGAGTTAGGGCTTTTCTTTCGTTGGATACTAGCCTGGCCATGTAGTAGTCAATATTAGGAATTTAACTAGTGATTCACTGACTTGGGTCTAGGTTTTTACTACCTAGGTAGATCGTGCGGAAGACTAATCGGGTAAATATAAAGCCTAATGTTAAATCTATAACCTGTGCCCTTTAAACCACCATTACGCCACTCTCGGCCACTGAATTTTTATATTATCTTATTAAAAGATGGAATTAAATTCTTAAATTAAATATAAAGGAAAATTGAACTGAAATGAATAGAAATGAGTGGTTAGGGGTGGTGATATAGAACGCCTTGATTCGCGCGACCGTCTACGGGTATATGTTCTACCTAAACGGGCAACCTCGGCATGTTACATTATTATATGTAGAGATTGATTCCCATTGCGTTCTTAAATTTTACGATATATCCCACGTATTACATCAAGATCCCAATGCCAACAATGGCCCTCCAACCCCTCCCCCTCCCCGCAGGCGTAGCAAGCCGCTACGTCCAAACCACCGACCTCAATATCCACATCCTAGAAGCCGGCTACACCCCAGAAAACAACAAACCATTGATAATCCTCCTCCACGGCTTCCCCGAAATTGCCTACTCATGGCGACGCGTCCTCCCCAAACTAGCAGCAGCAGGCTTCCACGTCGTAGCCCCAGACCAGCGCGGCTTCGGCCGCACCACAGGTTGGGACACGAGCAGCTACGAGGACGTCGACCTGGGAACCTTCTCGCTATCCAGCCTAGTGCGAGATATTGTACTCCTTGTACACGCGCTAGGCTACCGCTCCGTGCGGTGCGTCGCGGGCCACGACTGCGGCGCTGTATCGGCAGCCATGTGCGCCTTAATGCGGCCGGATTTCTTCCAGAGTGTTGCGCTCATGAGCCATCCGTTTAACGGGTCCCCGGATTTACCATTCAACACGGCGAATGCGGATGCCCCGGCTGGATCTGATGTGGCGGCAGTAGGTGGGGCTGGCGGTGCTGAGGGGTCGGCTGCTGCTGCGGGGATTCACGAGGCGCTTGCGGAGCTCGGCCGTAAGCACTATAAGTGGTATTACTCGACTAAGCAAGCTGGGCCTGAAATGTCGGATCTGGGCCCCGGGGAGATGCATCGCTTCTTGCGGGGCTACTTTCATCTGAAGAGTGGTTCGTGGCCGGGGAACCAGCCGCATCCGCTGGGGAAGTGGTCTGCGGCAGACTTGATTAAACTACCTGGGTATTATATCATGCCGTTGAATGAGACTATGCCTGCAACGGTGACGCGCGATATGGCACATGAGCCATCTGACGGTCTGGCCTCGCACTCGTGGCTGCCGGATGAGGAGCTCGCCGTTTATGCGGGCGAATATGGTCGCACAGGCTTCTATGGTGGGCTGAATTGGTATCGTGTTCGCACCGCCGCTGGGGGCCGGTATACGAAGGACTTTGATATTTTTGCTGGGAAGAAGCTCGAGCCCCCTTGTGCTTATGTCTCGGGCAAGTTGGACTGGGGTAATTATCAGGAGCCTGGTGCTATCGAGAAGATGAAGAACGGGGTGTCATGCGCTGACCTACGTATCTTCCGGCTTGTGGATGGGGTTGGGCATTGGACGCCCCAGGAATGTCCGGAGGAGGTGGCACGGGCGATTCTAGATCTGATCGGAGGTCTGCACGACTAGGTTGTTTCGTATTTCCTGAATTGCTACTTGGAACGGAACTGTGGAATAATGTTTTGGAGAGATATGAGAACGATATTATGCGAGTTGAGATAATGGGACTATGATCTGATTGATCTAAACACATTGCATTTGCGCTTACAGATCAGGTGGGATAGAGGTAAGGCATACAAAATTAACGCCGGCATCATCGTCGAATAGACTATTGACACAAGCTTGGTCAATGTCATTCTTCAAGTCCCAGTAACGAGATTGCAAGGTACTTTTCGGTCGAATTGTTGATGTCCTTGATTGATAGCGAGATGGGTGCCTTCATATTACACGAGTCTCTTGCTCTCCTGGAACCCGCGGAACTTCCTATAGAATCATATAACTTTGACAATATACAAATATTTTCTTAAAACCAGTACTCCGTATTGTATCTCCCTATTATGTATCGCTACTCTTGGGTACTAAAAGCTCAAAGCCCAAGTTAGACGCAATATAAAATTACTGGTGGTAGACAAAGATCGTGGTTGGTCAGAGAAAAATGCATTGAATTGGATACTGGGTTATATCAACATTGCTAGCCAGTAATGGGTGAGCACAGCTACTAAATTTCAACCAGAGAGTGGAAACATCCGGACTTCTTAGTGTGCGCATGCGACCGGGGTGCTCTTTTCTTGACCACTCGCTTGGTAGGTGTTGCACTCCGTCGGGGGATAGAATCAAGGCTATTGGCGTATTTTGCAACAGCGAAAGCCGTGGCCTTCGAGTTAATCAGGAATGCCTCGTGGTTGAGATTCTTGAAGTCATCCCCGGCAGCATGATAATTCACATCGTATGATACGTTTGCTTGGCCTCCGAACAGCTTTGCCTGTGCTGCAGTTTTGAGGCCCTCAGCACCAGTGAAAAGTCCACCGGCGGGAATTCCACGAGAGATGAAACCGTCGTAGTCGGATCGGCCATCGAACTCAGTTGGAATATATGCCAGCTTCTTGGATTTGAAGTAGTTCTCAAACAAAGCCTCGATCTGGGCAGAACCCGCCGGTCCAGTCTGGTTGAAGGCATCTCCGTCACCGTCATAAATCATGAGCGCGTAGTTGGGAGAAGCAATCATATCGAAGTTGAGGTAAAGTCTGATTTTCGCCAGTTCCTCAGCGCTCAGGTGCGAGGTGTAGTACTCGCTACCCAACAGACCGAATTCCTCTGCTGTCCAGAAGAAGAATCTCACGGCATTCTTGACAGAGTATCGCGTCAACGCTTTTGCTACCACTAGGTTGCTGATAATTCCAGAGCCATCATCGTTGATGCCAGGGCCGGCCTCGACAGAGTCGGTGTGACCTCCCAGTGAGACGACGTTGTTGTGATCGCCGCCTTTCGTCTCTGCAATCACGTTGAATGTAGTGCGGTTCTCGATTCTGCTGTCTATCGCAAGGTCCAAAGTCACGGCGCCCTTTGCTGCCGCACTGAGTAGGGCCTTGCCGTCGACATCAGAGATTCCAGCAATGGCGGAATAAGGGCCAAGTTCATTGGTTACTCCACCTAGTGTTCCACTAACAGACCCTTCCTCATTGTTATAGACAAGTACCGCAGCTGCCTTGGCGGCTGCAGCCAGCACCGACTTTTCTGCGAAAGTACATTCTCCACGCTTGACTAGGGCAATTCCACCAGCCACGTCACTCGGGTAGTCTGATGCCTTGCATCCGAGGTTCAAGACCACTGCCAGCTCTGCAGTAACATCAGCGCTGGGACTGTATGTCATGGCGGAAGCTTCGATGGCTTCCCCATCGAGCGTCAGCGTGGTCTTCGCAGTAGTCCATGTGTGCACCTGTGGCTGCTTCCACACATTATAATAGCCTGTCTTCTTCAACTCGCGATAGAGGAAGTCAACAGTATCATTATGTGCTGCACTGCCAAAGACACGGTTACGCTCGGGATACGCATAAGCGAAGTCCTCAAGCTTCTGAGTGCCCTTCAGGAGGTCTTTCAACCGAATCGTAGAGGGAAAGTCATCCTAATAAGTCAGACTACCTTATAACGAACGAGGTGGGGATACATGGTATGGTGATCATGCATACATACCGGTGAAACTAGGGGCTTGTTTCGGCCAGCTTCAGCTAGGGCCAAGGACAGGTGGGTTATCAACAAAAGCCACTTCATTGTTAAGGAATGCGCGAATAGGTAGCTATTCTAACCCACGAGCAAGAATGGTGTTCTTATACCTAATTTTCGTATTGTTAGTGATCATCACGCGATGATAAAGTGCAATGATGCGTGATTGGTAGGGCCCTGAGGGGTATGCCAAGAAGCTCACCTGCTTAACTTGGCGGAGGAGGAAGCAATCTCATAGGGCCGGCTATTGTTCTGCAGGCGGAACCCCGACGGCACTGGGCAATATGAAGGCTGAGGTTACAGTGCCAAGGCATTGCAAGCGGGAAGATAGTAGGGATAGATAACATTGTTGCGGGATGTTGCACTCATTGTCCAGCACCATAAACCTTACGACTAATTGTTCAGTCCGTATGCGCAACAATTTGCCTTAATCCTTTGATTTTTGATCGAAATTGTATCATGCTCAGGTCCAGAAAGTGATGGGCCAAGCTTAGACAACTGCTTATCAGAGATCAGTATTATTGCTTGCAGACCTCGCACTTGAATCAGACATACCTAATCTATATCCTCCTTAGCAATGCCCATCTTAATCAGATCATCTTGATTCATATTTGGGCGTTCAAAATTAGGTTCAAATGCATCCTTCAAGGTTCCAACTCCAAGCGGAGTACTACAATGGACACGACCAGAGAATGGATTTTCCCCCTCACCATAGATGAAATCACGCACTTCCTGTGCAATCCACTAGCCCCGTCCAATCTCACGATGCTCAAGCGGAAGCCCAATCATAACCTTCGGTCTTGCAGCGACATCTCGGTTCCCCCATAGTGTTTTCTCGCGTATCATTTTGCGCATATCCTCTAGCAGCCCGTGCCAGTTTTCACCGGCTATAAGGAACTTGAGCATGCCGAGTTCAACCAAGCGAACAGATCCCGGTAATGCGGCGAGAAAAGAGGTGACATCAGACTGTGAGACCAGGAAGCGGGAGAGTTCGAAGTGGCGTAGCCTCGTCTATTTTTCTACAGGCACGACGCTCTGTAATGGAATCAGGTAGTCTAGTATTGGGTATCTATAACCATCATCGTAGCGATTAGCAGTTACTGTCGTATGTAGTCTGAAATTCTCCATGTCTTTAGCTTCGCCAAGTGCGCGGCGTAGCCGTCCATTTAGGAAGGATCGCCGGGATCCGCGGCTCTCTGAATCGAATTGTCCTCCAACAAGCATAGCAATATCAAGACGGCAGAATCCAGGGGTTTTGAGTACTGTGGCAAAATCATCATACTCTTCGCAGGGCTCGTCGAAGATCGTACAGTTGATCCCAGTCGGGAGATGAGTGGAATTCATAACAAGCTCCCTAACAGAATTTGGTTCACTGGCGAGCACACGCATCGTAGTGCGGGACCCACGATAGCGTTCTCCGAGCTCGGGGTATTCGTTCCACTCATATGCAATCGCAGGGGCACTTGACACTTTAGGAAAGAGCCATCCCCACGGAATATAATAATTGAATCCCTTAGGGAAAGCGCGAATCATTGGGGTCGGGTACAGCGGAGCGAATAGATAGCCATTGGCCGCAGGTGTAATGGTGACTCTCTTCAGAGCAGGAAACTGCTTGATACCGTATAAAAATGCGTGTAGATCACTATTATCGGCGAGGACATCTTTTTGCTGACATCGTAGGTGCTGATAATGTTGCCAGCACTCCCCCAGTGGAAGCTGAGCCAAAACCTGTTCTCTGCATGTAACGTGGTCGGGCCTATCCACGTCCCTGCCCCTCCTCAGCCTAAGATAGAAGAGGTTTTCCCCGCAAACCTCCTTAAACCATATAGGACACGCATCTTCCTCCTCATATTGTGTCGCTCAATGAGACACTCCCGAGCATAAAAGGGGCACTCTTCGGCCCACTCTCTCATGTTACCGGGTTCGTCCTCGTCTGAGAGCAGTTCATGTCCTTCAAAGTTATCCCATGTTTGCCATGGGCCTCTCTCCAAGCGCACGTCATCCCAAATGATCTCGGTTACTCGGTGGCGGAACTTGTCGTGGGATCCAATGCCACGAAAGACTTCTATGTTGAGTGGGTTGGCTGATAAGAAAACCCGGTCGATGCGGAGATGCGCTGCATTGTTGAATTGGTCACATGCCAGGCGATATTATTTCATGTCAGCATTGGATAGATAGATGTAATGATATTGACGCCCATAGCTCGAAGGGGAGCCCAGGGAGGCTGGTGTAAGTCATGATTTTGTAACGTAGAAAATGGAGGGGAATCTGATGTGCTAATAAGCACTATGAGAGACACTAAATCCGTACTAAATAGGCAAGATGAAGATCGAAATTTGTTAGAGCTCCATACTTTCTGGGGGCCAAACTGGTGACCCACTTCCCATTCCTAAAACCACACATTTCCAAGCCCTGTAGATGCTGGCATATATAATGAAAGTTCATTTCAATCAAGAGAATAAGTGTTTCATGAGCTTAATGGAATAAATTCTGGAATACCAACTTGGCGAATGGCAAATTCCCGAGCTAAAAGCCCAGTAATACTGGAAATCACCATAAGGTTGTGATCGCACGCATGTCTAATTCGGGGAAGTGCATCATACCCGGCGTTAAATTTCATGCAGGAACTATCTCCATTGCCAACTTTCGCCCCAAAAGCAGTGCTGAGGCCGTAGGCGTGGTGCATGGTTTGGATACCCTAGGATTTGGGGAACTTGGAGATGGAGTCGTGGGCAACATGTTCCTCATACACCAGTTCCGGAGTTTCGCGTATCTGCGATTTACTGTGAGAAACAAAGCCATTTATAAATAGCGGGGGATTGAACTTTTAATTTAGCATGCGTAACAGCTCTGCCAATCTATCCATCTGGTTGATGGCCGCTTGAACTGCGTTCGTGGATGGTATGGCCATGGTCGATTCTTGCAGTTGGATTTGAATGATCAACTGCATATGGTCATTCATGCTCTGCTCTCCTGTACAATTTCAATGAAAAGAAAATATAGCCTAAATCCTGATGCATCTGTTGTGTGCCGGATGAGTCCTGCAAGGCTACTTCGTCAACAAGTATTTAGTTGGCCTATCCCTCACTCTCCTCGGTGTATAAGGTAGAAATGTGACAACCAGCGTCCACGAATTTGAGTTGAAGATCAGATTCCTGCGTCCCCTCTTTTTTGTTTGTCACTCTCAACTCCTCACTCAACTCTCAGCTCTCAACAACTTTTAACTCTGTACAACTCCAAGCTCTCTACATAGCTCTCCTCCCATTTACCTTGACTTATCTTTGAATGCTGAACAACATGGCCTGGCAAGACAAGTGTGCTGCCAAACAGGCCGAGGTAGCCAGCAAAATCCCCATTGAATGGCGACTCACATCTGAGATTCTCCAGCGAGTCGATAAAAATGAGCTAAAAATCCTCGACGTCCCCTCGAAGTTCGGCATCCTAACCAAGGAAGAGCTCGCGATTACTGAGCTTCCTGATTCAACTTCACTTCGCGACAAGCTCGCCACCCAAGAGCTCAGCGCCATCAAAGTGACCACTGCCTTCTGCAAGCGTGCTGCTATTGCGCAGCAGTTGACTTCATGCTTGACTGAGACTATCTTCTCGGAGGCTCTCGTCAGAGCGGAAGAGCTGGACGTACAAATCAAGACTACTGGAAGACCTGTCGGACCACTTCACGGTGTCCCAATCAGTTTGAAGGAAACCTTCAATATTAAGGGTGTGCTGACTTCTCTCGGATTTTCCTCTTTCTTGGATTACGAGCCCGTCGCCCGGAACTCTGTCTTGGTTGATATCCTTCTAGAAGCAGGGGCGGTTTTGTACGTGAAGATCAACGTACCCCAGACAATGATGACGGCAGACTCGCATAACAACGTCTTTGGACGTGTAAAGAACCCACACCGAAACACCCTCACAGCGGGTGGCAGCAGCGGAGGCGAAGGAGCTCTGGTGGCCATGCGTGGATCCATCCTAGGAATTGGTACTGATATTGCTGGATCGATTCGCATCCCATCACTGTGTTGTGGTACCGTAGGGTTCAAGCCTAGTGCTGGTCGCGTGCCATATGCGGGACAAACGAGCGCAGCCAGACCAGGCATGCCCGGGATTGCTCCAGTCGCAGGACCAATCTGCCACTCTATTCGCGACGCCGATATGCTTCTCCGAGTGGTCTTCAACGCAAATTCTGATGATATGGACGATACGGCTCTAGGATTCCCCTGGATGCAGCCCGTGAAAGCGCCCAATCAGCTCACCATCGGAGTCTTACCAGAGGATCCGCAAACTCCATTGCACCCCAACATGCAGTGCACTCTCAGGAGTGCCATCGAGAAGCTAGAAAACGCTGGTCATCACATTGTGGATCTATCTCAACAGATCGATTTCTTGGGTGCTGCTGCAGACTTAGCATTCCGCTTCTTTCGCATCGACCCGGATCAAACACCGTTGCAGTATATCCGTAATTCTGGCGAACCGGCGATCCCATCTCTTCAAGTTACCTTCGACCTCGATGGCAAAGCAGAAGAGCCGACTTTGCGAGGATTGTTTGACTTGAACGTCTCCCGGGCAGAAATTGCGGCTAAAATGCGCCGCGTGTTTGTCGACAACCATCTAGATGTGATCATCGGACCAGGATACCAGAGCACGGCAGTTCCCCATGATACCTATGGTGTTCCAGTATACACCGTCATTGCCAATTTGGTCGATGTATGTTTTTTCTGTATCATTTGTCAATATTTACACTAACTCAAAATCCAGTATCCCGCATGCGTCATTCCCTATGGCTCTTCTCAGGAGACCGCTGATGCCGACTTCATGCGCGACGTGGAACATCATCCTCCTTGTAAGATCCATCCTGGATACATGGTAATCACATATGCTGACCGAGCTCAGATCTTCCCAAAGAAGTCGAAAACGCGCCCTGCCATGTGCAGCTTATCGGTCGTCGTCACAAGGATGAGGTGCTGATACAGCACGCACTGATTGTGGAGGGGGCTTTGGCTAAGTGATAAATCTATCATGCAGCTTAGCGGCCGTGGCCTACGCACTTATTCTAGGGGAAGCTTTGGCCAAGTGATGGGATCTTTCAGGTAGAAAATGATATTATGATGCTTCAAGAGCGCTCCATTAACAACTGTAATTGTTGCAGTAGCATGTCTCCGGTTTGCCGTAGCGAGGCTCAGATATCCATCAATCGCCCTTGCAGTCGCACAGCCCGCCCGCGTCTCATGCGAACCGAAGGACTAATCTGGTTGCGTATGTTGGGCTGTTCAGTTGTACCTACGGCAACAGTACCCGGCACAGCCACAGGCCATGGAGAATAACTGAGTAGGTATTCTTGAACATCTACTGTCTTCAAGATGACCAGTCCTTCGGGGAAAAGGGTTTTTATTTCGGATGTTCTTTGTGTTGTTCCCTGTCTTTCTTAAATAGCAAAATCCGAACGGTTCGTAAGTAGAGTCTTCTCATATAATTATCAGAATTGCCTTGGCGCTCATATTGCAGCATGTCACTTCACTCTGAAGGCGAGTCCACATATGACGTTCATCTTAGTTTAGGTGGCGGGATAACCGAGCGATGCGCGTCACATTTGCAATCGTGATAAAGAAATTATAAGGTAAATCCTGAGCTCATATACCAATTCCTGACCCGGAGAAGCCCGAGCCTCGTGATAAGCATTTTGATGCAGATTCTAGAGTGTAGAGTCTCTTTAATGCTCGCCTTGGCCAAACAGGGGGATTGCTTAAACGCAGGGGTGATCCAGCGCGCGATTATCGGGGATTGGCCAATTGTTTTACTCTATCCATGGATACTTCTCAATAAAAGTCAGTATGTGCTATCTATGGATGACTCCAGAGCTATCGATACTTATGTATATCAAGATGCTTAGATGAAATAAACTGGGTCGGGAGCCCACGGAGGGGTACACGCGATTTGGTCTTTGGCAACCTCTTCATCGAAGGATAGGAAAAGCCGGCTTGAAAAGGACATGTATGGATCCTCGGTTTGCATATGAAATATAAATGTGTACCTATCTATAGAAAATTGGAGACAATTGAAGTTAGCGAATAGGAAGCGGTGCCTGGAGACAGCCCGAGGGCAACCATGGTTGTGAAATATATATCCGAGGATTCGGGATAACTACATTTTCACCCCAACAATGATGAAAGAGAACAACAGTATTGCCAAAAGAATTACATTTTGATTTCAAAGACATCTAGAACATTCAAAGGCAAAAGACGTGAAAAACCTGATCTACGCCAAGCCAATAATACATGCAGGATGGGTTTCTGCCCAACATCAATATGAGACAGAAAAGGAAAGAAGTGGAGTTAAGTGAAAACATTGGCCTAATCTCTGCATTATGAGCTAGTTACAAGGAAGTCAAGGCTAATTGAGTACAGATAAATCCATTCAAGTTTTACCAGTACACAAAAAGTTGCATACATGAGATCGTAATACAAAGGAAAATTAAATCACACAAGCAAAAAGGAAAAGAGAACAAATAACTATTTCATCACACCATGGATGAGGGACAAGCGTATCCAGACCCCCCTCTAGGAGAAACCCAGGAAAAAAAAAAACCAATTTACAGACGGGAGCCGTGGATGACCTTGTAGTCGACGACGAGCTCACGGCCACCGTCGTTGATGACGAGGGCACGGACGGAACCACGGCCGTCAGCGAAGGCATCGCTGATGCGCTTGAAGAGGTGGCCCTGGGTGATGACATTGAGACCCTGCTTGACATCACCGCTCTCGGTCATGGCGACGAGACGGTTGTCATCACGGAGGTCCAGGATGCGGTAGGTCTTGAAGACGGGACCGAGCATGGTCTGGACAACCACGGAGGGAGAGGGGTTGGCGACGAAGCTGGACTCCTCCTGCAGCTTGCGGGTGAAGAGGTCGACACCGAGGTAACGGTGCTGGCCGGTCTGGGGGGAGACCGAGATGCGGATGACCTGGCAAGGACGGCCCTGAAGGATCAGGATGTCGCCAACACGGATGAAGTGGCAGGGGATGGGGACAGTCTCGCCAGCGGAGCCGCGGTTGCGGGGCTCAACGACGCGAACGTTCTCACGGGGAGCAGCGACCTCACCGGCGTGAGACTCCTCATGCTCAGAGTGAGAGAAGGGGTGCAAGACACGGTCGGCGGCGCGCTCAACGCCACGGCGGAAGGAGTGGTACTGGCCTTCGTCGTCGTAGTAACCCATTTTGCGAGTGGGGGCGGTGTCACGGGTAGTGGACTGAGAAACGTTTACTTGGGTCGGGGTGGAGTAACGAGCACGGGGCTGAACTTCACGAAGGTAGACGTCGTCTTCCTTGTAAGAGTCGGTCTGGGGTTGGGAAATCCGGTCGTACGAGACGTCGACGGACTGGGCTTGGTAACCGTAGGCGGAGTCTACGGGCTGACGATAACGACGGTCGTAAGAGACGTCGAGGTCGTAAGAGGGAGAGGTACGCTGACGGTAGTCTCTTTCAGTGAGGTCGATTTGACTTTCGACGACTTTATCGTAGACTTGAGTACGGTCTTCGTAGTCGACAGAAGGTTGTTGGTAACTGGGGTAGCTAGAAAAGGGTCAGCCCACATGCACGGGTACCATAAACATATAAACAAAACAAGCCAGTCACCGCTAATTGAAGTGGATCAGGTTTTGATGACACGTAATTTTAGTCCCCGACCAAATCCGTAATCGATCTAAACCAAGATAGGAGATCTCACAACAAATAACTGATAGTTCAGCTGCAGGTCTCCACTTTCACAAGTGGAGACGCTGGAGGTTGGGGGGTAAAATAAAAACAGGAAACACAAAACAAAACAAATACCGAGGGAAAAACAATTACATACCGTTCACGAGTAAGCTCAACTTCAGGGGCGTAGTTGGGCGAAGGCTGGTGAGAGGGCTGGAATTGCTGGTACTGCTGGGAGTGCGATTCCGAGTACTGCTGCGATTGCTGCTGGTACTGAGGGTGTTCTTCTCGAATGCGAGGACGCTCTTCTTGAACGCGAAACTCGACTTCTTCCTTTCCGTGAACAGGAGCGGGAAGGGGAGCAGAACCTCGAGTATCTTCCCGTTCGACGCGCGAAGTACGATCGAAATTGACTTCTCCCTCTACTCGAGTCTGAGTAGTTTCAGAGACAGCGTCACTCCGGTACGACGACGGGAAGACACTGAAGGGGATTGGGACACGGGCGTCAAAGTCCAGATTGACGGACTTTTGAGCGTCTTTTCTCGAATGCCTTTCGAACTGTCGTTAAACAACTCGAAAGACTAAACAAGAAAAGACTTGAAAGGGAAGTCTTTCTCGAAGTGGGGGGAGGAGAAAAAGAGAATATCTTTTTATCCTACAGATAGATAGATGATTGGAATGGAGGGGAAAAAGATAAGCTTAGATGGGAAGAATGTTAGATCGTAGGAATGGAAGAAGAAGAAGAAAGAGACCAGCGCAGTTGGCGAGCATCACGATTATTTATGCCAGACCTTTTGTTTACGCCGCCTTGCCGGTTTGGGTTCTCCGCTGATCACCGAGGCTCCCTCTTCTCCTTACTCTCTCTCTACGGTAATTGAATTGACCTATTAGAATTGTGCAATGTGTTTGATTGAATTCTCTTCTTTCTTGTTCGAGTTAATCACTCCAAACTCTTCAGGATTGCAACTCCATGGATGGATACCCCGAACTCTGCAATACACCGCGGGCCCTTTCACATGGGGGGCTGGCCAGCCTGCGCGTATCGTCACCGCGCCACCGACACTATCACCATAGCAACCTCCGGGTCGAATCGGACATCTGGAGCCCCTTGGCGCCGATCTTGTTTGGCTCCATCACATCGGCACAATTGTATTGGGGTTGCGGAGACACGTTCATGGTGATTCCCTCGGCTTAAGGAGTGTCCTTTTGTTTTAATTCTGCCATTCGGTACTTGCTAGCCAGCCATTGGCCCATATCTGACACTACCTAGGTATTCACATCTGAACACGTTACAGAATACGGGGCAGTGATACCGATACCAATACTGACCAATGCACTTCTCCACTGGAAAGTGATTCATCGAGATCATTGACCCTCTTTTGGGTCCCCAGCCCCGGCCCAACCTCTGTGAGGCGTCAGCCGGCGCATGCAGCTCATGTCTAGACCGTCTTACCGCCAGAGAGGCTGGGAAATGTGTTTCACCTAACAGTACGAAGTAATTTTCGTACATTTGTTTCCTCCATGAGACATTTGATGAAGGTGATTACCGTGTTTTGACTCGAGTCACATCATTATATTTCGTCCAATGGAGAGGTTATCTCGATTGTATACTCCGTACCGTGTAGCCCCTTTTCACGGAGTACTCCGTGCACGGGTACCATGGTACAACCATATGGGGCGGGAACCAGTTGTCCACAATATAAGTGGACAGCCATGCTTATTACGGAATGCCTTGATATCTGCAATATACGGAGGTAGAATTCAATCAGTTGAGATGCCCAAAAGGTAATACATACAAAAATATACACACAACACGCACTTTTTTCAACAGTCAAGCCTAGTAATCTCGTACAACATGCTTGTCTTTCCAATTGTTCCACTTCCTTCGGGGCTACAGCGGCTCCACCGTTCTTCCTCTTGTACGGAGTATTATTGTGGTTCTCTCGGATCCCCAGGGAGCATAGAGTATAGGATCAGCAGACCTCTTTCCGGGGTCAATTGAGCTGTACATTTATTTACATGCATATTGGGATTATTTTAAGATCGGATCATTTCTATTGGTGGTTACGAGATTTAAGAAGATCGGTACCCAAGTTTCCGTATGTTGCCTTGAAAGTCATCATCATCAAATCGTCAAATATTATATACAGAAAAGTCTCTTGCACAAAGTATGCTTTTTCTTTACCACTTTCGTATATACCTCAAGGGACATCTAAAAAGACCACTAAAAAGACAGGACAAGGCCACATAAACATCCAACAATTCTTGTAAAGCAATCACCGAGTACGGAGTAACAAAATTGCAATTTGTTGTGAAACACTACTATACCCAATTTCCTCGGCATTTACTATTCACGGAGCTGCATCATCCACCGAAATATTGTTGGGCCAACTAATGTGAATATGTAACTGTCTTCTTACGTGACAAAACGATATCCTTTGAGAAGTTGCCTCCGAAATAGCTGGATATCGATGGCTTTCACTGTTATTGGTACATAGACACGCCTAGTGTAACAAGGCGCCGACATTGCACTATGATAAATGCGTATAAGCTCCATCATTGCGAGAAGTGCCCGACGTATTGGTCGATTGCTTTGCAAGTTATGAGATCCGATGGACGGTACCAAGAGACAAGAGCCATGAAGTTTCTGGTTTGTTGCGCTCGATGCGTAGCTGGTACAAGACTTTGCCTTTGAAGTATTTCTGATCCTGCGCAGTGTGGCAATGGAAGTCTTGATATTGGAAAAGTTTTAGGTGTCTAGCGAGGTATGCTCTACATGTAATTTCTATGACACAACAATAATATACATACTGCTTTTTAGTATTGAAGCCAGCAACAATCTACTTGTATAACCCAAACTATATTCTTAGGAGTTGCAGTCCCGCGACACCTAAGATATCTCGCCTCTCTCTAAGAATAGACCGCGTTGGCTTGGAAGAAATCTTGTTTATCCAAACAATATAGCTCTGGATTCCCATCATTTTGCCAATTCATGACTTTAGGCTTTATGCAGATGTCTGACTGCACGTATATTGCTTGATTGGATACTACGTCTAATTAGTTCCCGACGGTACTGGACGACACTCTTTGCCACATTAATATCCGGATATCTCCCTTCTATGGCTCATGTAGTAACAGCTTTGTTAGACCCCAGGACGAGTTGACATAAAAATCCACCGTCGATCCAATCTATCCATCTAAGCTAAGGTGACTACACGCTGTATATATCATGCCCAATTGCATGTAAGTCTTTGATATTTTATACATAATCAATAAGACGCATATGCTGACGTGGCACCCATCATGGGCATCAAGAAATAACCACCCCGCTATCTTTTTCGCCGCGATTGGACCATTGTACCTAGCCAGTGAAGTGGGCCTCATAATTGGACATGGCTACATATTATCAGGGCTTTCTGGCTACTCGCAAAATATTGAGAGCACCTGGTCACTAGAAGACACGGGATATGTTTGAATTGTGTGCGCTATATTACCAACCCGGTTTGTAGGTGGCCGCAGGTTGACTGGTTGTTGGAGCCCACCTCGAGAGGTCCTATTCAGATATCCCCATGAAAAACGAGATCCCCCGCTTGAGCTCCAGTTAAAACTACCTAGGCTGCCGTAATTAGATTAGCTCATAGATTAAAAAAAGACTTTTGACAATCTACGCTCGGTATATCATCTAGGTAACTAACCATGATATCCACATGTGCACTGTGCACCATATTGTCGGACTACCAGTGCCGATACCAGTTCGTCAATTACAAAAACCGAAATAAACTCTTACAATAAATATACAATAAATATTTGATAACCAATTCCGGGCCTATAGTGTAATATGCAAGGCAGTAGGAAGGTACCCGAGCTGTTTTTTGACTCTAAATATAGTCGGCGGTTCGGTCTTTTGCTCGAAGCAAAATACAACGTACCAAGACATAACTTTGAATGGATCCAAGGGTTATTTGGTACTGCCTATCAACAGGGTCAGGCAAGATGCCCATGAAGGAGACCCTCGAAAGTGCCATTGGCTTTTTTTTCAAGATGTTGGTTCGCTTCTTCTCTCAAGCTATGAACACTGGCAGTGTCTTCTTCCATAGACAAGGTATCTATGTATAATATACTCTGTACTTAACGAAGAACACCTGCCTCTAATATATTGAATATCTGTAATGGACAAAAGAGTAGTGATACTATTCCCACTAGAAAGAGAAAGAATTTCTTACAAAAGCCAAAAAGCGATATATAAGCCCTGACTTTTCCCCCAAACACCAAAAATGAAACCCAGGCACCAAAATAAAGAAAGACACAAGTAAAGGCCAGCCAGGAAGAGGACTTCTTAGAAGAATGACCATACCAAACAGCAAGACATAATAATAGTCATAGCAAAGCATGGACCGCACATGAACATATAGAAAAATAACACAGGCAATGAAACCTTGGAACCAAGCAAGACGAGGAGCCGCCACTAGGTACATATCATCCTTGTGTTCTAGGATGATTATGACGCCGGACCAGTATGGAATGACATGGAGAAGACAAAAGAGAAGAGAAAAGAAAAGAAAAGAAAAGAAACAGGAAGCAAGGTCTAGTGTACATCGATAGGGCGAGAAAAGCAAATTAAGATGGGTATCGTGATGCAAAGCAGCGGATAAGCTCAAAAGATGAGGCGGAGTAAGAAGAAGAGGGAAACCAGCTGTGTGATAGTGGCGGAGACTACCGTTCTCCAAACTTGCCATATTCTTGCTGCCACTTGAGAAGATGGCGAGTGAGCACGTCCATCATCTCGACGCTGCTGAGCTCCTTGAAATCCTTTTCATGGGTCGTAGACGACTCGCCATAGCCGCCGTCTGTGGTTGCGGGACCGGACTCGCCGCCATCGCTTCGCGTGGATGGCATCGCACTGTCGATCTGGTCGACCATGCTCTTCAAGAGCAGGCCCTGGGCTCGATCGCCGTTGCCTGTAGGGGTGGAGGAGTTCTCGCCGGCAACAGCCATCTCCACTTGCATGCGTGATATGAACTCCAGGATGGCTGCTACTCGGCGCTTCATCTCGTTCATCGTCGTTCGCTGTGGGTGCATGTGGCGTGGCTTGCTTGGCCGTCCTGACTCCCCACCATTGAGGTGTGCTCCGTTGACACCGCTGTAGCCAACGCGAGGGGAGTCTCCACCGATTTCGTGGGACTGGCCGCGGCGCGGGGAGTTGGCCATATACCCTGAATCTCCATTCCCGTTGGTGTCCCGGTCTTTTGTGTATTGGTTTCGTCCAACACGACCGCGACGAGCGGGAGGTCGACCGGACTTGCGGGTTGACGGACGAACAGGTGTGGGCTCTTGTGGAGTAGGGGTGTTAGGGCTTGCTTGGGACGGATCAGGTTCTGGCGGTGCTGTCTTGGTCGGGGAGCCGATTTCAGGCTCGGATTCTGTTATAGTGGCGTGAGAAAGAGGGAAATTGTGCACTGGGGCTGTATCACTTACCATCTCCTTTGCGCCGGGTTGATCGTTCTTTCCGACGATTCACCGCTTCAGGGACCTCTGCCTCGCCCTCATCGGCGTCGTTCGCAGGCTCTTTCTCCAGCTGGGCTCGAGATGTAGCTCTCTGTCTGCGAGCTCCATTGACTGCGGCTTTGGGTTTCACCTCATCATCAGAAGGTGGGTGAGATGGTATATTGCTATGCCTTGAGACAGCGCTAGGTGAGGGTGAAGTGGTTCGTGGACGTTTCGCTCGTTCTCTGTTCCTGGGTACCTGGTCAGCCACATGATCCGAGCAAATGCCGGTCAGCTTGGAAATACGCACGTCACACTGTCACTTCGACTTCGCTTGCCCAGATGTGTGTCTGTCTCATCCGCATTACTTTTGGTCTCGGCCTTGCTCTCCTCAATTGCGCGTCGGATCAATTCTTCTTCGTCGTAAGCAGCATCCCGGCTGTTCATTGTTGATCGCCGCTTGGCATGCGCGGCAGCACTCTCGCTGTTCCGGGACTTGGGATCCCTGGAACGCCGTGATATATCTCTCGATGAGGCACGAGAGGACGGACCGGGGGAGGGGGCCACTGCGGGCACGATTGGACCGACTGGCACTTCAGGTACCTCAGGTACCGCCGGGGTCGGGGCCGGGGCGGGGAGCGGAGCTGGAGCTGGGGTTTGGGCTCGAGGAGGAGGAGGGGGTGGTGGCGGCG